AAGTATTTAGGTCAAACAATGCAAGTTTGTTCTTCGTAAATAAAATGTTCCTTGAAAATGACACAAGAGCCAATTGCTTCTGTCTGGGGAGGGAGGAGGCAGAGTTGTACCCAACATGGTGTCTGTGTAAGATTTAAGAATTCARTGTTGGATAATAGACATGGAAGTTAGAGCATTGTGGATTTAAGCTCCTACAACCATGTATTTGTATCAGCCAGCCCTTGCCAACAGAACTTTCTATAAAATACAACAGATTATTTTTATAAGGCAGAGAGGGCAATTAAAGTGAACATGATAAAAATTACTGGTTACCTGTTTCAGACACTTATATACATGCAAAAATATTGAAGGAGAAAAAAATTAATTGCTTAAAGGCTAAGCAAGTAAAGTATTTTTTTGTCTTATAATGACTAAAATGAGTGTTGGARCAGGAAATGCAGAGGCAAACTGGTTACACACGCTGACCTGAACAGGGAAGGTGCTTTTATTGCTGATGTTAGTGCAAAAATGCYAGGTGTAACATATTTAATCCAGCTCAAAGAAAAGAAAACTATTTCTAAAGTGTGTTCTGAGTCTACAGCTGCATTTTCAGTTGATTAATGACAATTGTGCAGGACAAGTAGCGAGTAARCTGGTAGGTGTTGAAAGAGCCTCATTTGAAGCAAAAGTGGTGAATAAGGAGGTTGCAACACATATGAATCAGCAAAAATCAAAATGTTTGTGAATTACAGAAGTGATGCTTTGTGGTAGTCAAAATTAAACCTTATCACAAGAAACAGCAGATCTTATCCAGTGTAATTGGACAATAAAATTGCAAGTAAACCTGGTCATCTGCTCATGCAAACTAATATACATATGAAAATTAGTTCAAAATGCACCTATTCAAGTGTATGGTTATGTATGTACCCCAGGAGGTATTGTTCTAATTTCTAGCAATGCTTGGGAAAGAATCTTGGAGTGACTATGAAAAACTTAATGCTATAATGKGTCTGAAAAATGAAAACAAGTAAATAGGAATTACTAGCAAATGATGGTGAATGTCACAGGAAGCATTGCTCTATGAATTTCAAAACTGTGCAGGTACTTGGACTGATCTTGTAAGAAAGGCACACAAAGTGGTGATGAGAATAATAAAGATACATAACAGCTCCTGCATGACACAGCTTCAACAAATTAGGCCTGTCAGAAGAGAATAAAAAGAATAGAGGGAGGATATAGCAGAAGTTTATACACTTTTAAAGGAGATGGACAAGGAAGGACAATTAGCTATTAGTCCCAATGGTGAGAATTCAGGAATGGCCCTTGAAGTTATCTAAGAGCAGAGTTTCAGGAAATTAAACTTTTTTTTTTTTTCTTTCACCACACATCATTAATCTATTGAGTTAATTACTCCAGGATCATGTGGATTTATATATAAATATACACATGGAATAAATATTAAATACTTATGTAAACCATATACAGGTGACATCAAAACATGTTTAASCAAAGCAGAGAGTGAAACAAGTGCTATTAAAAGTATAGATCCAGACAGAGCCTCTGGAAGTGCCTCAGGACTGTTGAATGCAGAGATGCAGACACAGTCTTTAGAAAGCCATAAGGCRTTACTGGAAGATGATGCCAAGATTTCTGTTACCCTGAGATAAGCTAAAACCTGTTTCCAGGTTGAGGAAGTTAAAACTGCATTTGTTTTCCTATTTTTATAAARCTTTTATTTCTGCATTACTTTACAATCCACAAGAAACAATGTTCTATACCTACATGAACACTTTGTTGGCATTCACCAGCTTCGGTGCTACCCCTTCCTTATTGATGAACCTTTACAGATTCCAGAGTTGTTAAGACTTGTCTCTTGCACTCCCTGCCAATGAGAAAGTTGAAAAAAGWGTATGTAACAAGCCTGCAACCCTGGATTTGTGCTGTCAGACTTCCTTGCTAGGAATCCCCTCTCCTTCCCAAATAAAGCTTTACATATATGAGCAATCAAACAAAAATCAAGGAAACTAAAAATAGCAGTCAGTTTTAACATAGTTTTTGTTTGGTTGTAAATGAAAAACACTGTGGCAGTACTGAGCAACATGATTTGTGAATTTTTTCCAAGCATTTACATTTATTACTACCAAACCTGGATATTATTTCATAAAACATAGTTAACTGTTCAAAATTTTTCTTTTTAGATATTTAAAGACCTTACATTTCAGTGAAGTTTTTAATACTCTCAYARTGCTCTTTTGGACWAATGTCCAGCACACAGCTGGATAAACAAGTCATRGAAACRTGGTGAGCAACTTGTTAARAAGTTGGGCACAAAGGRTTACAGTGAATGGGGTGACATTGGACTGGTGACCTGTCACTAGTGRGGTTCCACAGAGCTCCATTTTAGGTCCTCTGCTSTTCAACATGTTCATAAATGWCTTGGATGTAGGACTCACAGATATATTAAGCTCACCAATGACAGCAAATTGGGAGGAACTGTCAACTCCCTGGAGGGCAGAGGCCCTGCARAGWGATCTTGATAAATTAGAGGGCTGGGCAATCACCAACCCTGTTATGTTGACAGTGTATTTAACAAGGGATAGGATGAATTCTGCAGCTAGGATGGGGCAACCCTGGATATACAGCCTGGGAATGAGACACTGGAAAGCAGTGYCTCAGAAAGGRACCTGGGGGTCCTGGTYGATGRCAAGTTGAACATGCCCAGCAGTGCCCTGGCAGCCAGGAGGGCCAAGTGTGTCCTGGGGGGCATCAGGCACAGCATTGGCAGCCGGACAAAGGAGGGGATTGTCCCGCTCTACTCTGATCTGGGGCAGCCTCACCTCGAGTGCTGGGGGCAGTTTGGTGTGCTGCAAGATAAGAAAGATATAAAACTATTGGAGAGTTGCCCAAAGGAGGGCAGTGAAGATGGTGAAGARCCTTGAGTGGAAGCCAAATGAGGAGCGGCTGAGATCACTTCACTTGTTCAGGCCGGAGAAGAGGAGACTGAGGGGAGACCTCATTGCAGTCTGCAGTTTCCTCATATGGAAAAGCAGAGGGGCAGACACTGATCTCTTCTTTATGTATGACCAGTGACAGGACCCAAGGGAATGGCCTGAAGTTGTGTCAGGGGTGGTTTAGGTTCGATATCAGGAAAAGGTTCACCAGAGTGTGATTGGACACTGGATTAGGCTTCCCAGGGAAGTGGTTGCAGCAGAAAGCCTGACAGAGTTCATGAAGTGCTTAGACAACACTCTCAGGTACATGGTGTGACTCTTGCGGTGACCTGTGCAGGGTGCAGGGCCAGGAGTTAGACTCGATGGTCCGTGTGTGTCCCTTCCAACTCAGAATATTCTGTGAAGTCCAATGTAATTTTCTAAACCTCTGAGAGCAAAGTCAAATTAACTTTGTCATTTTGCAGATATRCACACAAGTTTGAGATTCTAGTAACTGTTATCTATACAAATTACTAGATCAAGTTTAAATTTTATTTTAATCCCTATTGATGAAAGCATTTCTACTTCCAGACATGTCACAAAGTCAAGCTCARCACTAAGTTTAATATATGGAGCTTTATTTCAATATACACCAACAAACACAGCACTTCCAGCAGTACTTCATATACTCAGACAAATTTTTCTTATATTTCCTAAACATCCTTTTTAACACAGCAYTCATTTCTGGTAGGATTTTTTGTCAGCGTTTTGAAAAGCCAAGGCTCTTTATTAAGTTGTAATCAAGCATCATTTAAACAGAAGTCACTCTTGGTTGGATGCTTTGGATGAAGTGCAGACTGTGTGAGGCAGATCTCAGCCTGAGAGCAGCACTGGGTACACTTTATAAGCAAAGCCCAAGGTAAGGGCTTGCACTGCTGATACAACTAATTCATGCCTGGCTGGCTCTGGACTTTGTCCACAAAAGCTTYCTTTAAAGATGGGACTTAAAGGGTGCTATAAGAAGAAGTTACTTTTTTTTTTTTTTTTTAATATTTTTTTTTTTTTTTTAATCGTGAACAACAGAGCTCAATCTCCAGGCAAATAACACCTAGTGACAGATCTTCACATGGAAAGTGGCTTTTATGTGAGTCACTCTTTATACTTCCTGATAGATTACCTTCTCTCACAAAAACGTTAACCRCCACTCCCTTTGTGCAGCAGCAATGAAATCAGAAATCAAGGCCGTGCACACTAGTGAGGATTTCCTTTCCTTTCCTTTCTCCTAACCTGCTCTTGACTGCCTGAGGCCCTTGTTATCCCTACATCTGGCTACCAAGATCAATTTTTTATCATCGATTCCTTAGCTAATTTACCTMTTCCTTGTCTTCCAAATTCAGGCCTCCTAAGAACGTCTTTGAGGTTTCGTTCTCCAGCCTTGCCTCACCCTAGAGAAAATCTGTGGGAGCTGCATTTTATCTGACCATTTTCTGAACTGGCTCACGGTGACGATTTTCTCTGGCTGCCACGGCTCTGGGGCAGCTTCGGAGTGTCCCACGGGACGGGATTTCCCTCCGGGACATGTTTTCTGCCAACACTTGGGAATCAACCCCGGTGCAGGGCCGTATTTGTAGGGTGCCGGCTCCGCTCCGCCCGATGCGCGCCCTGTGTACATGGACGTCCCGGCCGAAGGAGGGGCGCTCCCGCGGGGGCACCGTCCCCCGTCCCGCTCGGTTCGCAGCAGCTCCTGCCCCGCGGGCACGGCAGAGCCCAACTCCGGCGACTCCAGCTCAGCCCCTCGGCCCCGCCCTGCGGCGGACTCCCCACCGCCACCTCCGCGGGCAGGAGCGGGGCGTGGGCGCGGCCGGGGGCGGGCCAGGGGCGGGTTAAAAGCGGCGGCAGGTGAATGGAGAGGGACCTTACAGCTCCGGGGCGGCCAGGCTGGGGTCAGCCGCTCCGCAGGTACCGCCGCTCCTGGGAGCGGAGCAGCGCGGCGTGCCGGCCGCATCCCGCGTGTCCTGCCCGGCCGCATCCCGCGTGTCCTGCCCGGCCGCATCCCGCGTGTCCTGCCCGGCCGCATCCCGCGTGTCCTGNATCCCGCGTGTCCTGCCCGGCCGCATCCCGCGTGTCCTGCCCGGCCGCATCCCGCGTGTCCTGCCCGGCCGCATCCCGCGTGTCCTGCCCGGCCGTGCCAGGTGAGGAGGCGGAACAGCTCCCGCGTGCCGCACCGGTGGAATCGGGATCGGGGTTGGGATTGGGCTGTGCGCCCTCCGAGTGGATCGCGATCCGTGCGTTGTGCCGGAGTGGGGCTCGGGTCGGGCCGTCCCGGCGGGGCTGCGCTCGGAGAGTGGCGCTGCGGGGCTGGAGCAGCCACGCCGCGGCCCCGAGCCCCTGTCAAGCCGTGCTTGGGCGGGGGCTGTGAGCCCCCAGCCCCGGGACCGGCCGGCCGGGATGTTCCGATCACACACAGCCCGTACCGGGAGCAGCTGTCAGAGCTTCGAGCCAAAGCCGGTGTTTGCTTTACAGGAACAGACGGCAATCCTGCCCCTTCCCACCATTGAAGGCTCGCAAGCGCGGGAATTCGGCGGGATAAAGGTCGGCGCGAAGGGAGGGAGGGAGAGTCTGGCATCCCGCTACTAACCCCAGAGTGGGGATTTGGAGTGGTCTTCAGTAATGGTGTCTTGGTTGGCAAGTTGGGTGTCCGGGTAGATTGGCTCCTACAGCCAATTGCAGTGTTTCTGTAGTGGCAGATGAGTAGGGAGAAAAGTTTTTTTTCCCCCCAAAACTTGCAGTAGGAGACAATACTTTGAACCCAGACCATTCAGCTTAGCGAAATGCACTTTCAGTGTTTTGCTTCAGTTCTGATTAGCCTCTTGTGAAGGTTTCTTTGACTTTAATGACTATGCAACAGACATGAGGAAATTCTTACCAGAAAGATACAGGTAGCTGATCATAGCCTGCAGGTTGCGTCAGTGTAAAACGTTGCATAAAAAGATGGCGCCAGACAAAGCATGAGAAGTCTAAGGAATTCCAGCCATCTTCTCAAAGTTGTTTTCTTTTTTGCCATACCCAATTTCACCTTTCCGCATCACGGTAAATCTGACCTCTCCCTCTTGCCTCCAGGCTTGTCTGTACAAGCTAGGCCCTCATACCAAGGATATGTGTTGAGGCACGTTTGTCCTTTGGTTGTGATGGAACTACACCAGGGTAAAAAAATTCTTTTTTTCTCTCTCTGCTGTGTGAGAATGAGAGATTTTTGTAAGCTTTGGCCAGTGTTGCATTGCCAGGTACCATGCTCTCCCCACAGCACACAGCCAGCATCGAGAGGAGATGGAGCTCTTATCCATGGCCTCTGTGACTCTCCCACACAGCACAGTTCTGTCTAGCCTTGAGAGGTGATGGACCAGTTATGCAGGTTCCCAGCTCGGGGTTCAAAGTGTTTTGTCCAATTCAGTWATAGTTTCCAAATGGCTGTAATCATTGAAAGCTGAACCCTGAGACTGGAGTTGGAACTTTAGCAAAATTTACTTTCAAAAGGGCAGAATGTGGATTTTAGTTTTTAAGAGTAGGAGGAAATCTGAAATGGAGCTTCTCTGAAGTTTGACTTTCTGTGATAGCATCTAGAAAATTAACAAACTCTTCAGCTGAGGGCTTTTTCTTCTCAACCCTATGATTCTGCTTGCCTCCTTTTTTGGATGATATAGCAATGGAAGGGCAAGCTCTGCTCTGTCTGCCTTTGCCTGYTGGTTTGTGCTATAAAAGCATGCAGCCCTGACAGAGCTGGTTTGAGGCTTCTCACCAGTGTTGGCAAATTCAAACATTGCACTTCTGAGATTAAGGGCCTTGTCTGAACTGCAACAGAAAGCCTCGGAGGTCTGCTGGAAGTGTCTGGGTGGAGGGAGGACTTCTGACTAAGAAGGCCAAGTAGTACCTACCCCCATGACAAAAACCAGCTCAGCCTTCTAGGGCTGTGGTGTTGGCAGAGAAATCCTAGAGAAGTCTCTACTTTGTCTAGATGAGGGTTAACTCATGCRTGATAGTAATTTCTGTTGCTTTGGGAACTACACTGAAAGGCAAAACATTGACGARTCAGCCACAGAAAGGGAAATAGTTCAAGAAAGGGAATGAGATGACAGAGGATSCACAGAGAAACTGTATTTAGATGTGCATATTTCCTGCCCAAAGCCTTGTTGAGAAATACATTGAGATATGTTTGTCCCATCCTAAATTGATGGAAGCTGTTTGAATTTATAAACATATGGGTGACATTAATGAAAGTGATTTACCTGTGGGTCTGGAGAGACTGTTAGGAAGTTCTCTTTTTCACAGGCCTAGAGCTGATTTTTCACAATTTGATAAGTAACCTTTCTCTGTATTGTGTTATCCTGCAGATAAAAGGACACAGAAAAGAAGATGGACTGGAAAACTCTGCAGACTGTTTTGGGAGGTGTAAATAAGCACTCYACYAGTATCGGGAAGATATGGCTCACAGTCCTCTTCATCTTCCGTATCATGATCCTGGTTGTGGCTGCAGAGAAAGTTTGGGGAGATGAACAAGATGACTTTGTCTGCAACACCCTTCAGCCTGGCTGCAAAAATGTTTGYTATGATCACTTTTTCCCCATCTCTCACATCAGACTCTGGGCCCTGCAGCTGATCTTCGTCTCCACACCTGCGCTGCTGGTGGCCATGCATGTGGCTTACACCAAGCACGAGAAGAAAAGGAAGCTCAGAAATGGTGAGAAAATTAACATCGAAGACCTAAAAAATGAAAAGATTCACATTCGGGGCCCCTTGTGGTGGACGTACACCAGYAGCATCTTCTTCAGGATCGTCTTTGAAGCTGTCTTCATGTATGTGTTCTATTACATGTACGATGGGTTCCAGATGCCTCGCTTAGTGAAGTGTGAAGCTTGGCCCTGCCCCAACACAGTGGATTGTTTTGTGTCTCGGCCCACTGAGAAAACCACATTTACTATTTTCATGCTTGCTGTATCAGGGATCTGCATGATATTGAATCTGGCTGAATTGTGCTACCTAGTGATAAAAATTTGCATGAAAGGCCCCAGAAAAACAACAATTCTGAAATAATTCCCCAGTTTCAGGATTTCCTGGCTCCTTGTTTCCCTTAAACTTTCTTAGGTGTAAGAAAACAATAAACAATATTTTCACACTCAAGGAAAAGGATAAAAAAATGAATGCTCATTTGTGTTTTAAAAATAACAGCTTCCCTGGGAAGCTGATGCTGAGGCAGGTTTTAAAGATCAAAAGCTAATTCAGTATTTTTGCATCTGCAATTAGAGAGAAGCAGTCTTCTGACAGCAGCTTCTCCAAGTATGCCTACTGCTGGGATCCTGTTGTTGGGACAGTCTTCCAAAAGTGGGGGTGGAAAGGACCAGAGAAGGCTCTAGTGCCCAAGGAGATCCAGGAATCACAAACACACTCTGTTAGCTCAGAGACAAGCCAAAACCAAAGGATTTTGGTTGAAAGTAGATACCAGAGGATTTTTGGGGTACATTGCAGCTTTTGAGAAGGAAGAAGACAAGGAGGTTCTTGTGTTTATGGTAGGTGTCCTCTCTAAGTGATCTGGAGAGCAAGCAAATGTTGTAGGAACACAGATATTCTGGCAATGCATGCTATCAGCTCTGCTGGGCACCAGCATTTTTTTTATTCTCCTTGCCTCCACTAAGAAGCATTTCATAGTGTTGGGGGAGGATAGTCTCAACTGCCTGTGAATGCCATTGGGTCAGTGCTGCCTCCCCATAGTCACAGAGCCTGCATCAGTGGGAGGAATTAAGTTCGTTTTTCATTCTCTTGATCTGATGAAAAAAGGGATTTTCACCTCTGGGAAGGTGGAGACAGTGCAACTGTTTTCCTTCTCTTGTTCTCCCCTAATACTTGGTGTAGAATTTTGGTACAGTAGACTTTATCTGATGAAGAGACTTTTAACCACCTGACTGTGCCTCACTCAGCTGTATGCTTTTAAAATGTTTTGGGTTGGTTTTTTTTTCTGTATAAAAACCAAGAAAAAAATTGCCTTTTTTTCATTCTTGGTTAACCAAAAGAASTGTTTCAACTTACAGCATGATATACAGTGCTCCTTCCATTGCTCCCTTTCTTCTATCCAGCCTGCAAAGCTTTTCTTCATAAAACCTTTTCCCTATATGAGGTACCTTTGAAATGAGTTGAGCAAACCACTCCCAGCCTCTTTGACATTCCATATTGTGAGATTAGGTCACCATTCCTTTTCTTAGAGTTGGTCTAGCAGGAATTACAGACAGCTTGCAGAGCTAAAATAGAAAAAGGGACCCAATCAGAAATGAGGAGGAACTCTGCATTTTTCTTAAAGTTCACATTTCTGAGTTGTAAATTGTGTATGACTGTCTTGGTTTGAAAGACAGGTGTTTGCCGATGAAGGCAGGGACCCCCCCTTGGAGTGGTGGATATGAACCCCCCCCCTTCCCTCCGAATTATTACAGCTTTGAAAATCACAGGCTTTCAGGCAAGAATATGGGTAAAAGGGAATAACAGTTTTTACTAATATGTATAACAAGGTGAAACAAGTAACAATAACGATAGCAACAAGCAGCCCAGTGCCAAACCCAGTGACAGCCTCACACAGACACACCCTCCCCTTTGGTGCAGTTACAGTCCCAGTCGGCAGGGGCGCTGTTGGCTCCCGGCCGGGCAGGGTGGGTGCGATGATTCCCCGGTGGCTGCAGGGGGCGCTGTGGCGCGGGTCCCGGCTGGTTCAGATCTCCCAGTGGCCAATGGTGGACACAAACCGGCAAAGGTGGATGGAGAAAAAGTTCCTCTGCAAACTCACAGCGGAAACGCTGATCTCGGTGCTCCTCTGGACAGCAAGAAACCCCAGAACGGCCAGATGGGCAAAAAGACGAGCAGAATCCTGCGGCTGCAGACGGGATGCAGCAGAACTTGACCACTGCAGCTGGAATTGCAGGGTTCCCCAGCAAGGCATGGTGGGGAGAGGAGGTGGGCACAGAAGATCACAATGCAACAAACAGGAACCAAAGACTGAAGACGCTGAACTCTGCAGCAGCAGGTCCACCATCCTCCCCCGAGCCAAGCAGGGCAGGAAGTGAAGCTACCCCCCCTGCACACGCACACGCAGATGCAGACGCCCACACCCACACCCATCCACCCACACACACACACACACACACAAAGGCCTCCCCGAGCACAAAACTCCCGTGAGAACTTCCCTCTCTCCAAAGAAAGGAAAAAAAAGCTGCCAGGCAGAAGCAGTGCCCAGGGAGACTCTTCAGGTGGGGCTAGGTTCTTTTGTCTTCCCCAATCCCCAGCCATCAAAAGGATGACCTGGCAATCAGTGTATCCCAGCAACAAAATGGGAAAGAAAAATTCCCCAAGAAAGGAAACAAAAGGAGAAACCTTAACCCACAACAATGACTAATTTGAAGGACTGKATGAGTCAGTCTGGTCTTGTCTCAAAGTAGTCTCAAAAGGTGTTTTATGCTTGTCTTGGGTAGCATATGACACATAAGGCAGAACAGTTTATCTTCCTAAGTGCCTACCCATTGAAGCCAYTTCTAGAAAGCTGGCTATTTCTCCTCCTTAGCTTTAATAAGTGGCTTTTCCACAAAATGAATGAGCACTATCTCAGGTTCTCTATTTGCATTCATCTTTTACTGTACATTTAAATTTGTCACTGTTGGAATAAATGAAGCTGCATGAATTAAAACCCATGACCCCTCACTGTGGACTAAAGTGGAGCCTAAACAGCCTTCTATCACTTGAGCTACATCCAGTGTTACAACCTGACTGCAGATGGAAATCTCATCTAAGAGGGGAGCAAGAAAACCATAAAAACACCAGAACCATGAACAAGACAGAAAGTCATTCATTATGAGCTGCGCAGGAAACTTGGACTGTGAAAACATCYTTAATYCAACTCCAAAKAAAGTTTGGTACATACCAGGTTTGWGCTTGATAGAGTTCCTGCATTGTTCCCTTACAAGTACTAAGAGAACAATTTAGTCCCAGTGCTCTAGTATTACATTTCTTTTGTAACAAGATCTTTTTTTTCTGTAATTATAATTAAAGCACTCTTGTGGTGTCTCTTTTCTGTATTGCTTGTACATGCTGTGTGCYACCTAATGTGTCTAATGAAAATCTGTTTATCATAATGGGAAATGCATGCACCAATACTGAGCTTAATGGCCAAAGGCTAGTGTAAGGATTTTAGCTTTCTGCTGCAGGTTGGTGTTTCAATTGSTTTAATTGCCTGTTACCCTGGGGTTTCATGAGCTCGTAGTGGAAGGTCACATATGTGCTCTACTTGAAATCAAATATGCTGCCTGAGGCAGCTTTGCAGCTGGAAAAGGCCAGTGATAAACATAACCAACCCCATAGGAAAAGAGTTTGTTTAGCTGGAACTTGGGAAGAGACATACCAAAACTGTTAACMCTATGAGGTTATCTTCAATTAGCAGTTTGGCAACCAGATTATCAGACACGAAAAAAAGATAAAACTGAGCAAAGTGTTTGGATGTAGCCAAGAGGGCTTTGGTGCAGCACAGCAGCATCAGGCAATAATAGCTCTGAGATTTGTTTTCTGTGTATATTTAATTTTACTGAATTGTTGCTTTTTGTGTGAAAAAAAATCAGATACTTTATAGGAACATGGGAATTCCACCTATTTCTACATGTGTTACATTGCATAGCTGACCACCTACAGATAGATTTCATACAGATTAAAATACATTGCTATGTTGAGCGTTCTTTCCTGAAATGCACTAGTAGTGTCTGCATTTCTGGTATTTGGTTCCTAGACTTTCCTCAGAATAAAGATTGCAAAGTGTGTTGAAAACTTTAGCCGTGCATCTGAGGTCATGAGTGCAAAAGAGGCCGATTCCTCATTGTTCAGTGTYCAGTGTAGCCAGGATGGAAAGTGTSTAATAATGTGGTATGAGAACTGGGWAGTGTGGGGATGGGGCTGGCTGAAATGATACCTTGGCTGAAAYTGCCAGGGAAAATGTCCATTGATTCAATCAGATCGAATTTTCATCCAGAACCTTAAAACCAAAACTACAGACATGTTTGTCAGAAGAGGAAGAAGATAATGGGAAGCAAACTTGACTGGTAATTCATGAGCCTATATAGAGAAAAATCCTAACTTTGTTGTGAGAAAGACTGATTTAAAAGGAAATCAGAAGTGTAAATCTTCTATATTTATGATTTCTGGGTATGGAAGTACCTTTATTAAAGGTTTTCTTAGACAAAAATAAAAATATCCTTTGGTTGTTTACAGTCATCATGAGCCAATGTACTATGTAATTTTATAATATAATATAAAGGACAAATATAAAAGACAAATTATATGGTTCATACAGAGAAGAGCACTACTGTACTTTGGAGGTTTAATTCAAAATTGCAACTCTGTCAAAAGCTGCTTTATTTTGTAAAAAGTATGCTGCAGCAATAAACAACAGCTAAGAGCACTTTACTAGAAACTAAACTTGGTGAAAATTAATCTGTTTTTTTCCCTAATTATAATTTCCTCACGTGAAAATTAGGCTAATGGGTTTTATCAGGCAACAAAATCACACTTGAAGAATTGCACTATTATTTTTGGTCATCTGTTCTGATATTCAGGACCACCACTACCTGACAGGTAATTACAAGTCCATTTGATTTTTCACCATCTTATTACCTACACAGTCATTTGAACCTGTTTGCAGACAGTGGCAGGAGTAATGGTGACTATCTGATGTTTCATGAGTTAAGACGAACGGTAATGACTTCCAAGATAGTTCAGAAGGCACTAATATTTTTRTCCCCATCTGACCAACCTAGCTTGTCATTGTCATTTTCTTTTACAGGATACGTTTCTCTTCTGTAAAGCTGGCTCAGCTTTGACCTATATTCTATATAAAGTTACCTAGCCACCAAAAGAAAGTCTTTATAACCTAGGTTTGGAAATGCACTGAGCTCTCATTTGGAAGGCCCAGATAAGGAAACAAGTCACATCTCAGACTCTCCATATCTCAGAACATTCCTTGCTCTTGCTGTGGTTGGTCCCCCCCACCCTACCATAGATTAAAACATAAGAATTGTTCACATCATTGCACATAACTTCTCCCTTTTTCTGACAGTTTAAACACTGCTGCTAATTCAGAGATTATTTTGCATTTGTCTTCTCTATGTATCTGAACAGTGAAATCCAGTGTCTTTGAATTAGCCATCTGCTAAAATACCACCAGGCAGCCAGATGCATGCMTAAGTCATCGTGGTAAAGGAGTGATATGGTATCAGTATGATACACASTTTAGGGAAGTACATTTTCAACGAATTGATAGAGAACTTGCAGGGTTGAGCCATGAATGACTGCAGGTTGCAGTTGGATGTTTTGAAGAGCAGCATACATTCTGTGTGCTGTTAAGAACCAGCATTTTGTTCATTGTCTGACAGAGTCCCCAGGAAAAGGAATACTGACTGTAGCGTGTGGTGCAGACACGCTGGTCTGAAGCAGGTGGCATTTTTCAATGGAAAAGCTGCTCTGGGCAGATTTACTTGCTTATGCAAGATGTATATTTTCTGTTGTCTTTGCAATTATGGCAATTTTGACATGTCAGCTGGGAAAGGCAGTAATGGAATGAAAACTGTTTAAGTCCAGATAATGAAATTTTTTAAAGTGTTCTGCAGATAATTTTCTGTGGAGGTTCAATCTTTATGACAATACATAAAATCTCCTCCCACACCTCTCAGCGATCAGGAGGAATGCTGCACTCTGTTGTGATGATTGGAAAACTTGCTMTCAGTTTGGTATCCAACTGTCAATGTCTCCTTTGTCACAAGACTTCTTTTACTTGAATTGAAAGTATTATGGCAGTCTTGGTACAGAGTCAACCATGACTCTCATTGCTCCTAAGTTTTCCCAATTGAAAGATAAAGGTGACAACTGCGTCACATTCACAGCGATCAGAACAGTTTAATCAATCATTGTTTGTTAAGATCATTGCAACAGGTGCCAGAAAAATAATCTTGTAATTATTGTGTGGCAAAGATTTCAAATCTATTGTTTGTTGCATCATTAGTGTAATGTCAGCTTGCAGTTAGTCAKGTCCCTATCCTAGGTATTGCATCCTTTTCAAGGACTGATTGTTTAATATACAGTTTAAACAGCTCCACAATCTGCCCAGCACAGTCAAACAGAAGCAGTTTATTCCCTTACCCACACACGTGCACACAGACACAGCAACAAACTGGCTAAATCATTCCCTCACTGTTATCTGATAGACGAYTGAATGAGACATTGCAACATGGAATTGTCAGGCATAATTTCTGCCTATGACATGATACAAGCTTTTCTGTATTGCAGTAAAATAGTTATTAATGACTCATTGTCAGAGCATCGGATCCACCAAATGGGATAAACTGTCTGCAGCTGGGAGGAGYTGCAGGAACACGGGAAGATAAGCATAGGATTCAATAAGATCCTTATCACAAGGAGAAATGGTTTAACAATAGCAGATTTAGAAAGCAGGAAGGTGTAAGTGTTTTTGTTGTGAAACATGAAGCACTTGCAAAACTGTCCGATGGGGACCTGTTCTGGAGCAAAGAACAGTTCAGTAAAGAAGAGCTGGAGTTTGTGGAAGATCATTGGCGGGACAGGAGACCGTAACATGGTTGGCTTGAAAAAACACCRCCCTGGTGTGCATTAAAGGTTTGTCAAAACCAGGATGTTTGACATTAAGTTTTCAGTCCTGTYAGCACCCAAAAGTCTGTTTGCACCCAAAAGTGCAGGGTTTGTCCAGCATGATCTCTATCATCATCATTCCTTTGTGCTTTTAGCAATTGTAATAAGACATTTGTGCACTATAGTATGTTCCACCTAACTAAGCATWTGAGGTGGCATTGTGAGTAAACAAAATTCCAATTAATGTAAGTTAAATTGGTGATGGAATTTTTTTTCTTCTCCTCAGCATTAGTAAAATGCTCCTTTATGCCTTGGTTGTGTGTGTCACAAAACAGGCATTCCTCSCAACAGGAGGAAGACAGAAACCCAGATGACTGTTCAGTTTTGTTGCCCATTTAATATATGTGCAAACATTGGTGGAGTTCACTGAAGCAATGAGATTATATCCAACCAATGGCATGGCATTTTGTGCTACCAATTTCTTTAATTCCAAAGGCAGACCATCACATTGTGCTGCAGTTTGGATTTTGCAGAGAAATTGTACCATACATAACACTTTTTTTTCCTATTTCAAAGCAAGATGCYTATTGCTGTTCCTTTCTGTGGAAGGCAGTAATTATTTGAGGCCTTTACAAATTCATCATGCATGACACCAAGGCATATTCCTGTTAAAACACACTGTATTTGCWCTTATCCTGACACAATGAAAAAGAACATCCTTGTTTAGACTTGGTTGTGGTTTGGCACAATGAGTTGCCCACTGGCCATACTAGTTTAGGACATTAACACTGATGTCATTCCTTCTTGCTCGTTCTTATCCCGTCTGTGTCTTTCTCCCACCCGATTCCACATGGTGCCTCCACTCCAGGACCTGCACTGTGCCAGGCCAGTTGTTTGCACAGCTGTGTTCAGCACTGRACTGTTTTAGCTGATGAAGAAATAAATGTTTTGCTTTGCTGAATTGTTTTTCAGATGAATTAATTCCTTGATCTGCCTTACAGGGAACAATATGAACTTCCACAGTGACAAGACTCTGAGGCAGTAGGCCATGGTRTTGGGCAAGAGCTGCAGGGAGTGAGTGGAAGGGGTGGAGGGAATGGCAACATGAAGTTTAGCTGCTGCTACACATGCTGCAATTTCAAACCACAGCCTCTGGCTGTGTTTTCCTGAGTGACTGCTACTAAAAAGGCAAAAATCTTAACTGCCTTTCTCCCTTTGCTGCAGCACCCTGCCTTGCTCTCTATTCCTCTCTACTGGCCCTGCTTCTCAGCTACTGGCCATCTTCTTCCTTCCTCCAACACAATCTTTCCTCAGTTTTTGTATGAGTTGATTTAGCCCACTAGCTCGGCAGTGAACTACTTGAAGCCTGTCTTTTGATTTTTTTATTTAGCTCAGTTGGCTTTCTGCCAGACTTGTGGCAAGAATCAATGTGTCTCAAACTCAAATATTTCACATTTCTGTCTGTAGTGTCAGAAAAAAATATCATCACACTATGACAGGATGATAACAGGCATAATTCCTCTTAGGATTCTCCATGTTCTGTGTCTCTCTGATTCTTCCTCCTAACAGATGCCTGGCTTGTACAGTTATAGTTCTTCCTCTGTTACATCTTACATGGAGCTTTTGCTTCYATGAAGATGACTGGAAAGTATCTCAGAACATTCAGATTCATTTTATTGTTGTTGTCGTATTAGGAAACTTCTCATGTTTCCAAAGGAAAGAACCAGAAAGGACCAGATGAAGATGGTCCAGAAAGGACCAGATGAAGAACCCTGGTTCTGGTGGGTGAAACACAAGCCTAGAGCCTAGAGTCTCAGTGCTGTTCTCAGAACCAAACAGCCTAGGATGAGATATTTAGTCTTTCTGTGCCTCCATTCCTACAAACTAGAAGTCAAAGTGTTGCCCTACAAGCTAGAAATAATAATTCTTCCTGACAGCAGTTCTTAAGCTGTGTTCTCTGATGTGCTTTGGCAGCAGTGTCTAACAGAACAGAACACTAATCAGTAACTAATTTATAATAAAATTTAGTATATAATATGAGATCAAACTACATCAGTCTTTTGATTGCCATATTATTTGTTATTTAATTAGTTCCAAAGTCTTTGATTCATCCGTGTAGAAAACAACTAGACATTTTAATCCTCCTTGCTTCAAGCTCTGCCTCTGGAGGTAGCAATACCCTTTCCCAGCATTTAAATATCTTTAGTGCCATCTTCTGTAGGGCAGTGGCATATCAAGCACAATTCTCTTTATTGACATACCGTACACCGCCACTATGAGCTGAACTGAAGGCATTTGGAGCYCTTTTTTTGACTGTGTGGACAGAACTGCTGTCAAAACTGCTGAGCCATGGCATCACTTTGGTGTGGTACTGCAGTTAAGGGCTCTTTCCACTAAACCATGATTGGATGGACAGTTACAGTAAGAGTGATCCTCTTCTTTACTCAAACTAGATGTTTAAATTAGAAATAGAATTGTCTGAAAAGAATTTAAAAGGAACTATTTGAAAAAGTTATTTTTTTCTTTTTGAGCAGCAGCTCAGGTTCAGACTAAGATCAATCAAGAAATATCTCCTTAACTTACAAGATCTTTCACAATTTGATAAAGCTTGGTGGCTATTTTTTATTTCCYTTCCATGTACCTTGTCATGAAAACCTCATTCATTTAATCTTAAAAATGCCTGCCTGACTGCTCTGTCTTCCCATTTCTTGAATTCACTTTGTTTCTGTGCCAGCCAAATCATGCACTGCTAAATTCTGTCTCAATGTGGAACAGAGGTAGTCACCTGTATGGAAGACAAAAGGTTGTACTAAAGAAGATAATTAATCCTTCCCTGGAGACATTCAAAATCCCACTGTTGGTGACCCTGCTTTGGCAGTGGTGTTGGACTGGACGATTTCCAGATGTCCTTTCCAATGCTAATGATCGTGTGATTCTGTGGTAATTAAAGGGAGGCTGAAAACGTTTTAATGCAAAAATTTAAATGTCACCTTAAGTCATATGCTGCTGTCTGGTGTTGACAATGGAGGGAACCCTTTAAACATAATGAGGAGTAACAGTGCTTTGCAGCTTTAAAGGTAAGTGAGGAAACTAAGCAGGATGGGTCTTCCATGGAAATCCTTCTGTCAGAAAGATCACATGAWGAGACACTTTTGAGCACCATTAACTAAAAACTGGTCTGACTCAGTTTCTAAACAGTCTTCTGCTACACACAGCATTTCAAAGTGTCTCAATTTTTTTCTTGGATGTTTTTTTACTAAATAAAGCAACTGTGTGCCTTGGGACTGATTGTTATTATTCAGTTTGCAGCTCTTTATAGAGTAGCTATCAACAGAAACTCATAYGTTACTGTTGAAGAGTTGTGGAGTCACCATGCCAGTTTAAGTCATTCTGTCTTTCATAGAATCATATGATGGTTTGSGTTAGAAGGGACCTTAAAAATCTAGTTCCTGCCAAGGGCAGGATACCTACTAGACCAGATTGCTCAAAGCAATCAAAACCTGGCCTTGAACACTCTCAGGGAAGTGGCATCTGCAATTTTTCTGGGCAACCTGCTCCTGTGACTGACCACCGTCACAGTGAGGAATTTCTTCCTAATATCTTATCTAAATCTACCCTCTTTCAGTTTAGAGCCATTCCTCTTTGTTCAGTCACTATATGACCTTGTAAAAAGTTCTCTGACATTCTTGTAGGCCCCTTTAGGAACTGGAAAGCTGCTATACAGTCTCCTTAGAGCCTTCTTTTCTCCAGACAAAACAGCCCCAACTCTCTCAGCCTGTCTTCATAGCAGAGGTGCTCCAGCCCTCTGCTCATCTTTGTGGCCCTCTCTGGACTCACTCCACATCCTTCTAATGTTGGGAGGCCCGTGCAGCACTCCAGGTGGGCGTCATGAGAGCGGAATAGGAGGGGAGAATCACCTCCCTTGATCTTCTTTGAGCAGAATCACTTCCCACTCTGCTCTAGATGCTGCCCAGGCTGTGTGGCCGTTTTCTTTTCTCTGGGGCAACAGTGCAGAGCACATAAAAGCTTAACCAAAATATAGGTGATAGTAATATTTTTGAGTATTGATGCTGAAAATTTCAACAGCAACTTAAATCCTAACTTCCAGAATAGCGACAACTGATCTGTGTTTTGGGAGTTTTTTGTTTTTTCTTTTTCCAAAAGTTCTGCGCACACCAGCTTGACAGCTGATGCTGACTGAGGATGGTCTGAGGGAAAGAAAAAAGGGGCTGGCAGCCATTTGGGGCCTTTCATGCAGGACATAAAGGCAGCACCTGCGAAGTCTTACCTGCTCTCAGAGAGGAAACCCTTCTTTTGGTGAAGAACTTGTTCGGTTGTTTTAGCGGGTTTTTTTTTTCCCCCTTTTGCTCAGGTATTTCTGACACCTCAGGAAGGGCCGTGCATTCGGTGGTCGGGGCGAGGCGCCCTCTGACAGCGGAGCCGGGACGCCCCGGACCGCACCGGAGCGGAGCGGAGCGGGCAGCGGCTCCCGTGGCACTGCCTCCGCCRGAACCCCGAGGGGCGGGGAGGGCTTTCTCACGCTTCTATCCTCTGCGAGGAAGAAACATTTTTATTTCCCAGGAAATCCCGCGGAGGCGGGATGGGTCATCTGCACAGTGGCAAACATTGTCAAATTCAGAGAGAGAATCCGCTTGGAGCCGACCGGGTGAGGAAAGGAGCTGCCGGCCCGTCCCCGTGAAGCGGCGGCGGGAGGCGGGGAGGGGAGGRRAGGGAARGGRAGGGRAGGAGGGCCGGGTGGCCCSTGGCTGCGGGGCGGCTGCCAGAGGTGCCGGCGCCGGCCGGGGGGCGCGGGCAGCAGCAGCAGCAGGCAGGGCGCTGGGCACGGCCCTGGGCACGGGGTCCCGGCGCCGCCAGCCCCGGCCCGCCGCTTCTGCCACAGCCCGAGCGAAGTTTGGGGGCGCCTCTTCGCCCCGCTTAAACAACCTATGCGCCTCGCCGAACGAGTAGCGCCTTTGGTGCTTGCAAAAGCCTCCCTCCCGCCAAGCGTAAGTAGAGCGCCCTGGGCTGCGCCGCTCGGCTCCGGGCAGGGACGCGCCGGCCGGCACAGCGGACGCGGCCGCGGGCACGCTCCGAGCCGGCGATGGGGGCGGCAGCTGCCCGGGGCCTGTGCCCGCTCGCTGTGCCCCCGGCCGTGGGATGGGCACCAGGGAAGGGCAGGGCGGGGCCGAGCCTGCTCAYCCTGCTGAGGAGGAGTCGTGGCAGGTGCCCTGCTGCTCTGARTACCTTCCCGAGGGACCCCGGTGCGAGTGTCCGTCGTTCCTGCCCCACCGAGGGAAACGTTTGCAGGCGGCGGCGCTCGTAGATGGGACGGTAACTGAGCCTCGTGAGACAGGGAGAAGTGTCCAAACCTCACCAAATACCTCAGAGGATGCAGTGGAGGACAAAGCAACAAATATTCATATTCAGGATTGTTGTAAGGGGCATGCAATATCTTCCTTTAAAGTTGCCACTAACATGTGAACATTGATGTTCATTTCATGCCAGTTTTGTACTTGGAGTAAAGTTAAGTCTTAAATATAAAGTAGAGCCAGAATTTCTTTCACTGTTCTAAGTGGTGCCTCACAGAATGATGGAGTTCACGAGCAAAATCCAAGATGGTTCTGGGGTTCCTTGAGGTGAGCTCTGAGTTGTCTGGCTCATACAAACACTTTCTACTGATAGTTGGGAAGATGGCCGGGTGGCCTGCCTGCATTGACCAGACTTTTACCTCACTCTGTTCACATCTTTGGTCTGAGAGTTAATGAAACATGCAMGTTACTCATTTGTTCACTTAGGAGTCTCGAGTGATGCGAAGTATTGAGATGAATAAATATTCTTTGGAAGGTATGAAGCTTGATTAAGTAAGAAATCGCCAATGTTATAAGCAGAAAAAGTTGTTTCATTTGTGCGTTTTTTTTCCTGTAGGCAAAAAATATTTGGGTTCATTGCTGACGCACTGAAGAAATYATATAAGCCTAGCATGTTATTAGGAATACTTAGTGTGTTAGGTCTTCAAGACACTGATAGAGATACGAGGAATGAATTGGACTAAGTAGCCAGAGATACTAGAGGTATTTACTGTTAAATTTACASTAAATTTAAAGGGAAATGAGAGAATCCTACTGGAACATTTTAGAATTAAACTAGAAAAGAAGTAAATGTTTTCCATAGTACAAAAGTACTTTAAAAAGTTTGAACAGGGTCTCCCTTGCAGTTGTTTTAACTTGCCTGAAGTCCTCTCAGACAGATACACAAATATTGGARTCCCTGCTTCTCTGCAGTGGAAAAGAGTCTTGAGTCTTTGAATGCCACAAAAGCTCATCTTTCCTTTGTATATCTGGGGTGGGGGGCGGGCCACTCCTTACTGTGCAGTTTTTAGATCTGTGTGGCTGATCGTGTGTGGGCACCTGGCAGCTCTGTCTCATTCATGCTTCACTCACTCGGGATGYAGGACTGTTGCCCTCATGCTCAGCGGCTGTTCTGCAGTCCCCCAGTAGCTCCACACCCTTCACACCTTTCTGCTTTACTGGTGAGTCACTGTCTTTTCATTCCAATGTAGAGCTCTGARATGGCACTTGAGTGTTCTGGGGGAGAAAAGGGGTTGCTTTTAGTTCCTGTTTTTCTCCTGGAGCTAACAAATCAGGGCAGGGGTTTGTTCCCCCAGGGAACACAGGAGTTTTAACAGGTGGGCTGTAGCTCTCCTCCTGGGCTCAGCCCTGCACTCCTCGCTCTTTTCCTCTACTCAGGCCAAACTTYCACTCAGAGGTCAAGTGGAGTCAAGAAGAAGTTAAAAGAAGTTTTGCCTGGGATTTAAGGAGGAATCTTCAAAGCAGTAAAGTAAGTTCAAGGTAATAACAAAATCGGTTAAGGAATTAATTTTAACAAGTGTTTAAAATACAATTACAGTGGTGATAGATGTGTCTGAAAGTATGACATTGTGAGCATGAAGAAAGGTATTTTTCAAATCCCCATTTAAACAATTTGATATAATGAACTGTGAAACCTCTATTGTGATTTACGAAACACTCACATGGCCAAATACCATYACATTTCACTGGAAATTATAGTAGCTCATTCTGTGCCTGCATATGTGCCAGTTTGTCTGGAATTATGTGGTCACACTGCAGACTTTTTGCAAGATGACTGCTTTTGTCTGACTTAAATTAGCAGAGTTAAGAGCTGGTGGCAATGGAGATACCTGATTGTTTGGTGTAAAAACAAATTAAATATTGCAASTTGTTTTAACAGCTTTTTTGTCATTCTGCTTTATAAAATGTGGATAATTTTGAAGAAAAGATCCAGATCCCAAGTTTTCAGACTGTCATGAGAAAGTGAAGGAAATATGGGTTGAATTTAAGAAATTGTTTAGACAAGGATATCTRTTTGGTTCCTAAATAATTGTTGTGGGACATTTTTGGGCTATACCAATATAATGAAATCATAARTACATCAGGTGTTATAATCTGATGATGTATGTAACACAGCTGTGTACTTATTTTTGCATATGTGTATATAAATACAAAAACAYATACATGTTTGAATAAAATTTTAAATAATAAAATGTCAAATTTTGCACACCTGGTACATAGTAATGAACCTTTTTGGTGACATCATCCAGAATAAAACTGGCAAGTTTGTAGATGTCACATTATAATTACTCCTGTCCTGCAGAGGGATAGATATGACATCGCGGCTTCTAACATTTATTCTCTTGCTTGTTCTCTTTGTCACATGCAAAGTGTGTTTATGAATGTACTAAATTAGTAATTAATAACACAACACTGATTCTTACATTCTGTGTCAGTTTTTGTGAATGTCCATTTTTCAGTGTTGATCACAGAGGAATGATTTTCTAAGTGAACCAAACAATACAAGACTCACAATTCTTATTAAATGAGATGAAGGTTCATGAAGTCCTTGCTTTTCATACTGTTGAATTAGATTGTTTTCTGAGACAGATTCTCTGTCATTCCCTAGTGGGTATTCATGGACATAATGAAATACAGATAAAGATGTTTCATTTCTTAATCTGCATTTTTTTCCAAGCACAAAAAGAAAAAATGTCTCACAATCCATATTGAAGATTAGGTCGTAACAGTTGCCTGTCTCTGTATTTCAGCAGTACTGAAAGTAATACTATACAGTTGAAGTCTGTGTAATACTACAAAAGCGGCTGTTTAAATTTAAATACAGGTATTGTTGAATTTAATGGTAAAAAAAATCAAATAATCTGTGAGTTTTGTGAACCTTCTGGTTTTGTTTAATGTAACATATTTGTTATTTGTATTAAGGCACCCCTTTACAATTGTAGGTTAATTTTTGGATGAGTTTTACTGCCCTTGGAAATTATGTCCTTCCTGTACTGATGTACTATGGACAAGACACATTTCTGGTGAAGGCAACAGTTGCTGCAATTCATACTGAGATGTACACTGAGGGTTTTCACCTCTGTGCAGTTAAGATGCTGTGATGTGTCTGCTCACAGCTTAAACACTTTGTCTGCAGGATGAATTTGCACACTGATACACAGAAATAAATCTTTTTATTAATGAAAGCATTAGAATAGCTTTTTTAATGTGTATCCTTTGAGAAGTGCATTGTGTCGTGTCTTTGGTGCCCTGAATTATCTCAGCCTGGGCATTGCTGACCTGTAGTAAAAAAAAAAAAAACATTCTGGAGATTCTGGAGTAGTATTAGTGAATAGAAGATAATTAAGTAAGATGGATATATTATTTGTCATCTTTGAGTTTTTACAAATTGTTATTGTTCTTCTGCTAATCACTAGATAAGTTTTTAGAAAAGCACAAAATGTCCTGTTTTCATTTTAGCCATTATTGCCTATTGGTCTCTGTAAGAGATGCACAGCAGTGTGCCTGTAGGGGGAAAAATTGATGCCTGTGTTCACCTTACAAGTGCAGGACTTATAATTTTTAGGAGGGCAGACCAACCTCTTTTTTTTTATGCAACAGAAGGTAATATTTGTCTTTTTAAAAAACATCATGTGGCCTTTGTGCCATTGGACACAAGGGKAGTCACAGCCATGCTGAAAACGGGACATGAGTCTGAATCTAAGAAGATTTAATGGGCCAACTTTTTGCTGGTTAATAAACTGTCTATTACAAGTATTAGTAAAAAAAAGAACAAACAGTAACTCTGACTGCTTATTACCTGAGTTGCCTATTTTGTTTGATCTGGGTGGAAAATAAAGTGTGAGGCAGAGAGCATTGAACTGAGAGGCACAGAGTAAGGGAAAGAATAGCAGAGAAAGGAAATGGTGAAATTAGGTTTATGGTAARCTTCTTTAATGCACCAAATATCACATATTCATTTTGCATTTCCTACATTTTCCCACCCAAAATGAGAACATGCCCAAACAAYCATTTACTTCTGTTCAAAGCTGGAACTAAACTGGGTATATCTTCAAATGATTTTGATAAAAAAACCACCTGTTATTCCCTTAAAAATTATTATTTATCGAAATTAAAATTATTTAACCATCCAAAATATTGTAAATCTCCTAAAATTAAGATTGATTATTAATTTTAAAAATCATGTAGACATATTAATTAAGGCAACAAAATACTGTAACAAAATTTATTCAGCTTTGGACTACTGTTTAAAGAGGAGGAAAACCACATTTTTCAAAAAGAATCTGAGTACATTTAAAAATAATAAAAAAATGTTTCAGGGGTAGGAACATATGAACACAATGTTTCATTGTTGATATAATCATATGCAATTTATCATGTTGTGTTGGAAAAAGAATTGACTTATATTAAAGGGAATGTGCTTTTACAGAATATCAAAGATGTATTTTTAGGGGAATTTTTTGTTAAATTAACTTTGTGGGATAAAAAATGAATTAGAGGATTTACAAAACTGCAATATACTAATGGGTGTGTTGTTGCTTTTTGTCTGAAAGCGTACTAGTCTGCAGTTACAGGTGTTTCATGGCCTCACTGTAAAATCAAGTTATAAAAAAATACCTTAAATAAATGTAATGTCTTTAATTGCCTTAACTAAAAGCCTGAAAGAAGTTCAGCACAGACTTCAGAAATATTTCTTTTGGAAAACAGGGACATAATTGCTGAAAATTACACTAATATAATGATGAATATCCCCTCCTCTACACTTTTTCAGTGGTAAATTCCTAGCTGTTATGATGAACACCTTTTTTTCTTTGGAATTGTAAGACACTCAGGTGTTTGGATAAGAAGGATAAGAATAGCAAGGTGTAATTAAGTTATATTTATAAAATACTCTAAGATTTTTAAACAACAAGATAATAATTTTTTATTTTGTTTTCAATTGAAGGTGAACATATAGACTACAGATGTGAGTTTTTTTAGGAGAATGAAATGTACCTCTTAGATATATTGCAATATTCTAACATATAATCCAGTTAGGAACAGGCCAAGGATAACAGAAGTGATACCCATAGATTTCTCTTGTTTCTCAATTGGAGGAAGCTTGTGAGGAATCTGATATTAAAAAAAAACTTGCAATTTAAGCCTTTCCAAATCACCAATTGTGTCTCTGTCTAGAATTGGACTTGGGAGGCCCATCATATGTGAATTGGTGGAAACTGCTGAGACTAGATGCCAGTTTTTCGTCACAGAAGTAAGGTCATAGGATGTAATTTTATTTTTTCCAAGAAAATTTCTGTATATAGTTGCTGAAGTGACCTTGAGTTTGTTGTTTTGATTTTTGTTTTGTTTAATGTTAATAATGTTGCAGAAAGTGTGGTTCAGAACACTAACTGCCAGGACAGTAGGGGAAATGGCATAGAAACATTTTCACTATTCCATTCARAATTTCTCATTCTTCCCAATATTTTGAGTTTATAAAGTATTTCTGTTCTTTTTAGAAATAAACAAATTCAAACTGACATGCTTGTTGAGTTGTATACATTCCAAAATTAAACTGTAAATTCCATTAAGTTTTATATTATTATTTTTCTGTGTTTGTACAAGTCAAAAACATCAGAGACCTGGGACATTACTAAATTCCTGAATTCTGGAATAAGTAAGTTAACAATAAAATTATTAGAGTTTGGCAAACATTGTATCACSCTCTTATTTCTACCTGTTCTTTTCTAAATGTAGGTGGGAGTAGTTACAGCCATCTCAGATAGTGGAAACAGAAATAATGTTTTTGAAAATATTTAAATCTTGTAGAAATTCTAACTTATGAATCCTTCTTGCCAGTTGTGTATAGGCACTGAAACCTGTGTGGGCTCTGTGGGAGCACCGAACATCTCCCTTCTGTGCTCACCAAAGCCATGGTTGCATGRTCACAGGGTTATCTAGTTCTTTATGTACGTGTGCAGTATCCTGCCAAAGCCAGTGCCCCTAAGAAATATAATTTGTTGAGGGTCAATCTGTTCTGCCCCAGCATTGCGTAACTGTAAGATGTTTTACCATTGCTCTAATTGCTCTGATGTTCTCATTGTAGGTTAGAAATCTGAAACAATGGGTGACTGGAGCTTTCTGGGGAGACTGTTAGAGAATGCACAGGAGCACTCCACGGTTATTGGCAAGGTTTGGCTGACGGTGCTGTTTATCTTCAGGATACTGGTGCTGGGGGCTGCTGCCGAGGAGGTCTGGGGAGACGAGCAGTCRGACTTTACATGCAACACTCAGCAACCTGGTTGCGAAAATGTTTGCTATGACAAAGCCTTCCCCATTTCTCACATCCGCTTCTGGGTGCTGCAGATCATTTTTGTCTCCACTCCAACCCTCATCTACCTGGGCCATGTCCTGCACATTGTACGCATGGAGGAGAAGAGGAAAGAGAAAGAGGAGCTGAAAAAAAAGGGAAGCGGCAAAGATGGCAACTACCCAGTGACAGCAGCATCTGGCAGTGGTGGTGGGGGAGGCAGCAACAATGCCAAAGATACTGTTGGCAAGAGGGGGAAGGAGAAGCTCCCGATCCGCGATGAACGTGGCAGAATCCGTATGGGGGGTGCCTTGCTCCGTACCTATGTCTTCAATATCATATTCAAGACGCTGTTTGAGGTGGGATTCATTGTGGGCCAGTATTTCCTATATGGCTTCGAGCTAAAGCCGGTCTACCAGTGCAGCCGCTCCCCTTGTCCACACACTGTGGACTGCTTCATCTCGAGGCCCACTGAGAAGACCATCTTCATCATCTTCATGTTGGTGGTGGCCTCAGTGTCTCTGCTGCTGAACATGCTTGAGATATATCACTTGGGGTGGAAGAAGCTGAAGCAGGGCATGACAAGCCAGTACATCCTCGAGATGCCTGTCGCAACCATGACACCAGTTATGGTAACAGGGGAGTCCAAACCCGTTTCGCTGCCGCCACCAGCACCACCTGTGGTGGTCACAACTGCCATGCCGGCCCCTGTTCTGCCTGACACCCGCGCTGTCACGCCGCTGCTGGCCCCGGTGACCATGGCATCATAYTATGCTACGGGTGCTCCAAGACCACGGCCCCCCTCCAACACAACCTCCATGGCAAGCTACCCTGCTGCTCCACAAAATGCCGAGGAGAGGCACCGTGCTGTGACTCCCACACCCATCTCCACTCCCGTCACCATCCCGACTCCCATCCCCACRCCAACCCCAGCCGTCATCAACTACTTCAACAGCAGCAGCCGCGCCCTGATGTCCGAGCAGAACTGGGCCAACATGGCAGCTGAGCAGCAGGGGAAGGTTTCCTCCAGCTCAGCAGGCTCCTCTACCCCCAGCAGTGTCCGRCATCCCCTTCCCGAGCAGGAAGAGCCCCTGGAGCAGCTACTCCCACCCCCAGCAGTGCTGCCCATTGCCGCAGCCAACAGCGGCAGCAGCACCAGCCTGAGCGGGGCGAGCGGCAGCAAGTGGGATGTGGAGGGCGAGGTGGAGCTGTCGGGGGCGCGGCCCATCTCGGCTGCCTGCACCACGGTGGAGATGCACGAGCCACCGCTGCTCGTAGACACACGGCGCTTGAGCAGGGCCAGTAAGTCGAGCAGCTGCAGAGCCCGGTCAGACGACCTGGCCGTGTAGGGTGGTCGGCCCTGCTCGGGGGAGCAGGCGGTGGAAGGCGGAGTGGGCAGGGGAGCTGCCCGGGGAGSCCAGGCCTGGCGTGGGTGAGAAGGCCTGGGCTTCAGATTTAGACGCTTGCTGTTTTTGCACTCTGTGAATTGTAGTGGGGAAAATTATCAACATTTTCTAATAGGTCAGGGGTGACCGAAGCGCAGCCTGTGGGCCAAGGGACCAGTCCCACTTTCCTTCACGTTCATGGCAGATCCCTCGTGGGCAACCATAGCCGGTCGTGTGCTCTGAGGCTGGTTTCATCCAAGAAAAATGCTAATATCCCTAGTGCCCGTGCACCTGGTTGTCATCTCCCTCTTGCCTTCACTTCCACCCTTTTTCACACAAGCTCTACACGAGCAGATGCAATGACTTGCTTTCTTCCTCTCAAATCTTACATAGCCCTGTGCAAACATCAGGGTGGCATRTTGCCTGTTGGCACCTGTTGTCTCTATGGACCAACTGGCCATATTAAAGGTAACTCTGTTTCTTCCATATAGCATGACTTAATGAAGATTTTTGTGCTCATGGCAAGTCACCAATGTGGTCCTCGGCCAGGCAAAGTTTAGGGAACCCCTGGAATAGATTTTTGAGGTTCTTCTTTCCATAATTTTTTTTTTTACTCTTGACCTGTTAGGAAGTGTTTGGTTTGACCTTCTATCCAGYGTTTGCCGACCATGATCACACTATGTTTATATGCCTGCAAGTAYGTTTGAGCATGTTTGATTATAATTTCAGCTGACTTCTAAAATTGCTTACAGGAGGACAGGAATTTAAACCACACCTCAGAAATTATTACACAGAACAATTTCTCTTCAGAAAGCAAGGATTATGATTTCAGTACACTGTGGCCACATACATTACCCGTGGACAAACAATTAGGATAAASTACAGCTCTGCATTTTAGACTATTACATATCAGCTTAAGTTTGTTGGAAAAATGCTTTTTRGAAGTAAACTTGAGTGCTTATTTTTAAGTGTTCAAACATTTTGAGAATAATCTGTAGGTTTAAAGTTACTTGACTGTGTACTTAATCATTYTAGTTTGATCTTTGATCTTACAAGAAAATGTAAGAGGAAAAAAACTTACTAATGGTGAAATCCCCAAAGCAACATTATTTCCTGTTGTGTTCTACCCTTTAACATCCATCTTCAGTGTCTTCAGGTCAGTGAAAACAGATTTACATAATATTGTATTGCAGAAAATATGGCTAAAATATAGTGCAACGTGGCAACGTGGTGGCTGAAGAGTCTATTCTGATCCCATTGAAGTCACTTGCAGAATTTCAGTTTAAMAAGGAGCAAGATCTGGGAATGGATCTTGCTGGCCTTATTCAAGCAAAACTAATATTCACATAAAGTTTTGAGAGCCAGAAGAAATTTAGATTTTGGGCCTTGGAAAAGACTTCTGCTTTTGAAAAATGTGTATTTCCCTTAAAAATGGGTGAAGGAAATTATTAGGTATTTTTGTCTAGGGTGTAGCTTTCCTTACAATGGGCTCTGACCTTTATTCCCTCATTAACAAGATGTTAGTCAAAATTCTGCATGCCTGATAAGGCTCGGGAGAGTTTTGGTACAAAAGAAATAGATAATTAGGCCCAGCTTCTGTTCTAAGCAAAATCCAAAAGAACTGAAGCTTGGAGTCAGTCCTGCTGCTGCTATAAATTGAAAGTACTGTAACTGGAAAAGAGCAATCAGAAACACTGGGATAGCCCTTTGCATCTTCAAAGTATTCGGCCCGGCAGTGCAGTCCTTGCTGAGACAAAGCAGGGTCACGCTGTAGCACGTAGTTAACATTGCCGGTTACTTCTGCCGTGATAKGTTCTCCTGAGTGTGCTTATTTCATTCAACAGTCAAAATATATTCCCACCACTCGAGATTAAACATTTTTACTGCTTTCTGAGTACTCAYGAAGAGCTTCTTATGATCAGAAGCACTGTTCTGCAACCTTTGGGCGTGTTGCTTCATGACTTCCTTGTCCTGCTTGTGTTGAACCAGGTGAGAAGTCCTTGTGCTGCTGTGCAGGCACTGCATGAAAAGTCAATGTGCAGTAGCAGCACAATAAAGATATTTATTATTAGGTATTCAGCTAATACTTCAGGCATGCTCTCATGGATTTTCTTGTTATAAGCCATAAAAACCCTTTCTGCAAGAAAGCTAAAAGCCAAGTTCTGCTTTCTATTATACCCATGCAACTATGCTGAACTTAGACTAAAGCTGATGAAATTGCCTAGATTTCAACAAAGGCAGAGATTAAAATTCAAAATTTTTGGATCTATTACCATCTATAGTAGCAGTTTTGTAAGTTTTGATAAATGCCAATTAACTACATTGCTGAAATAATGCAATATGCATCTGTGTATTGCAGTACATCAGAGTTTGTGGGTTACATTTTCCTTTGTTCTGTGCTTCTGAAGAATGAAGTCAGTCTTTCTGGAGTGTATTTATATAAACCAGACCACCTGGAACATGTGCTTTTTTATATCAGTTCCTGAGAGCAAAACTGATGTTGTTTGATGGGGTTCTGCATCTTGCAGCCCTTACTCCAGTACAACCTTCACAGAGTGTGACCTGCAGGATTGCATCCATATTGTATATAAAAAATAGTAACAGAGATTTAACTTAGGATCAAGTGAGACCTAGTCTGACCTTTTCAAGTTAATGTGTGTGGTTAGACCTGCAGAAAATTCAGATGCTTTTGTGGAATATATGGTACTTTCAGCCAGAGTAACTGCTGGAAATCTCTAAAAGATGATTTTTCCTGTTAGGTGAAGCTCGGGGGGAGAAATGTAACTCTGTTGCAGCCCCTAAGAGAAGTCTGAGAGAGCAGCCTCTGCATCCAGGCAGTCCTGGTCTGAGAAAACAAAGCTACAACTCACAGGTTGCGCTTTTAAGATCAGCTTAAGTTCCATCACGTAACTATGCAGCGTCAAGCCTCTTCATTACCTACAGTTTCATTTGGAGTCCAGTAACTGTTTCTTCATTTAAGCCCAGGTAACTGTTTTGGCAGAACTCCTCCTTAGTGCTTACAACTGCTTGTAGTTGCCATATCACATCTGGATTCAGATTTGTTGAAAGAAAAATCTTATTGGTGTGGCTGATTTGGAGCACTTCAATCTTTACTTGTGAATGATCACTGAATTCAGTATCCTGTGGGTCAAGTGCCAAATTCTGTGCACAATTCCACAGTTCTAGAATATATGTGCAAACACCCACTGACATTCAGAATAGGGTCTGTTGGCAACAATTGTCCGCTAATTTCCAAGATGTTGACTCTTTCATATCAATTAATTATAAAGTTYCATGGGAACTGGTAGCAAGTGATACCCTGATTTAGCCTAGTCATATGGGCTGTTCAAATCAAAATTCTGAAAGACCTCAAGTGCACAGCTACAATGAAACCTGTAGGTAAGTTATCACAAAAGCAGAAGTCAGAACACAACCACGCCTGATATTAAGCAGACTGAAAAAACCTTCCACTAATTTTTGCTCTTTGAGTAGAATAATTGTGGGAAAACTTGTTCTCTCTCTTACTTGAAGTTAAAAAATATGCTGAGATAAACTTTGGAAAAGAAAACTGAAAAMAGATTCTCTTTGAACAAGTTACCAGGTGTTTGATGATGTACTACTCTTTTGGCAGTATATTTGTCATTCAACAAGGCACTTGGAGCTAATTAAATGTCTGACATTTTGCACCTATTAGATTATTTTCTGGTATGAATACAGAAGTGTAGGATCAATGAAATAATAAAGGCAAGCTTTAAAAAYCAAATCACTATTTAGGTCCTTTTTTGATTAGTCATGGGACCACCTCCTCAGCTGCTACAAGCTGTTGTATTCCACTGAGTTCATGTGGGTGACAGCAGTCTGTAGGAGCAGAGTGTGAAGCCCCCAGGTCTTTCTTTTATACAGACACTAACACCATGGATTTGAACAGGCTGGGGTTCTTTCAATTCCCAATGTTTTACTTTGATTTTTCTTGTGAAAAGTGTGCTCTTGTAATTTTGATTTTCTGAAGTTTACATGCAATTTTTGATTTCAGATTGCACATTTGGATGAAATAAACTGTTTTCTAAGTTTACATTTGTATAAGAAGCAAAATAATGACTCTGCCAAYGTGTTAAGAGAGAAATGTCTTACTATAACACAGGAACCCTTCAGACTTAAGGCAGTACCATTAAATTTAACCTGATCACTGATCCATAGTATCAGCTTTCTCTGTATAATTAAAATATGGGCATTGGATATATAGGGAGCACACCATGGAAAAATATTTTTCATTGTGAACTCRATTATTACCAAATAAACTGAGGTTCATCATTGTTCATATGCCTTCCTGTGTGTTTAGAGCTTCAATGACAAAAACTAGCTGTGACATATGTCCTTTACRAGCTAAATTTACAGCCTGGTTGAAAATTCCAAACAAAGTACTTGTGGATAAACACTGCACTGTTACACTGTAGAAGATTTTACAAAAAATAAATGTTTTGCTTTCTAGGCAAAAATATGATTCTGAGCCTGCAAATACAATTCCATGCAAGTTATTTTAACTTTTGCATATAAGACCATTAAAGGCTTTGGGACTATTTGCATAAACTAAGAACACTGATGTGATAAAGAAATTGTAGATATGCATTTTAAGTTTGCTATAAGATACCAATCTAATTCTAGGGTTTTCAGTTCTTGAAGAGTTATGCAAGATGTGTGAGCATATTTTAAGGTGGAGAATACATTGCTATTTGCATTGCCATTGTTTCTCACAGTTAAAGGGTTCTAAAGCATGAGAAAGCTTACTCAGAACTTTCTTGTTGCTTTCCAGATGTTTGCCTTTTACATGACAGAATCTGACAACAAACATAACAAGTCTTCCAGKCAGTCAGGAACTTGTACTAACAATAAAACCAGCAAACAGTTAAAAGTACTGTCTTCAAATAAGTGCCTTGTATATTAAATTCTGTAAGAAGCAAGTTGATGTAAATGTTAATTTACCTCATATGTTTACAAAATTGTGACTAAATAAACTTTTTGTACCACAGCATTGTCTCTTCTGTATTAAATTTTCATGGTTGCGTAGATGGTCTTTTAAAATACTAATATGGTGGAGCAGTTAGCTCCGTCCCTTTATTCATTTACACTGCTGCTTTCCTTCTTCATGTGAAGTACTAACTGAATTGCATCTCTTGGAAAACTGGATGCTRAAACCTGTCTCTGTGCAGAGTTCCAAGTAGCTTCAAAGGAAGTTCACAGTCAAGAAGACACACGGGAACAAGACCCTCTTGAGCAGGTGCAAAGATGAAATGCTGATTACCTTGACATCAGTGGGAGGTTTGCTTCTGTCTTCTGCCAAATACAGGTTTCACTCTTGGTCCTTACTTTGACCCAGTTCATCTCATGCAGTGTGGCATTGATGGTGGCTCCCATCTTTCCCCCCAGTGCTGACTCACTAACTTTATCTGTCAGCTGTTGTGCCATGAGATTGTAACATATAAATGCATAAAGGATTTTAGTGCAGGGAAAATGTCTCCTTATTGGAGACAATGGGGCATGCACTGCATTTGAAATTTGCTGATTTGCCCCTTATAGGCAAGTTCAATTTAGTGTGCAGATGTGTTACCCAATTCTGTACTGAAAATGTACAATGCACTAAAGGCTAGTTAATCTAAACATTGTATAGTTCCATGAAGAGTCCAGGGCCAAGTTTCTGAGGAGTTTTACTTGTGAAAAGCAGCAATGTGAGCAAGACTAAGTATCTCTTCCAGAAGTGTTAAGTATGAAGGCTTTTTAAGATTTAATTTCATCTGCAACACTCATGTGGACCTGGCAGTTCAAGGTTGTTTCTGCCCTGTAGTACTGAGTGCTTCTCTCTCATGGGAGTGCAGTCAAGTGTATTTTTTTTTGGTGCCTCCTTGTGTTCAGGCAATGCTGTCTCTGCTTTACATGATGTATCCATATGGTAAACCAGACTGTTCACTATCTCTGATGACTGGGCAAGGGTAAAGCAAGCTGACAGGTGTATAATATGGGTAGTACTAAGACTGTGCTAACAGTAATAAGCTAAGGAAGTGCATAAAGTGATACAGTAATACTAGCTGATAACTCACCTGCCTGTGACCAAGAGCGCTTTTTTGCTAAAAATGTATCTGCCATGCTTTCTACTTAGATGCATATTCCACAGTTTTGTCCCTTGAAGAACAGAGTACTCCCCAGGGAGCTGAGAGCATCAGCTGGTGCAGACACAGCCCGGTCATGGGCTCTCCCTCCCATGGGATGCAGCCACGCTGCTGTCACCTTGCATCCACTGTCTCTATAAAGAATTTTTGTCTGGAGTATGAGATACGAATGTTGCTACTCTTGGTCTCTGAAGGCCTTTGTGATCGTGTGGGTACCTTTTGCTGCCACATTGTGCGAGGTGGCTTCATGTGATCTTCTGGAGGAAGAAGTTGTGCTCTCCTCATCCACAGCTGTGTCAGGGCATCCTGAAGATTCTGATGATAATGAAAAGAGAGGTATTGGGGCGAATTCTCTAACCTGCTCCATTAAATTTCTGAATAGTTTTGCTGAAAGCCAAATAAGCAGCATTCCACACWCCCTTGTACTGCTGCTGCTGTCCCCAGGGATTTGGCATAGGAACAATCAGCTGGGCTTTAGCAAGCATTTTCAATGTGACYGCACTAGGAATAGGCTTCAATTAACATCATCAGTATTTCCACACACTGTAGTTGGAATAGGAATGAAGGCAATGCAGGTTGCCTCTCAAGGAAACAGATGTCAGAAAGATCTTAATAGGTCTGACATTTTGATCACTTTTGGCGACTGGATGTGCATCAAGTTTAAATGTCTTTGTGTCTATTTTTGGCAGACAATAAAGTAAGAAGGTGCTTACCCAAACCCAGAAAACTGGAGAGCCTTCTCATAAAGATGGTCTAGGAAGACTGTTTTTCTTACAGTGTTGTAGTTCAGGAAAACAGGATGTTTGAGGAAATGCACATTTTAGCACATGCGGGTATGTGATACTATGCTAGAATTACAGGTATCATTAATTGCTGTCAACGCATTAGTAGGAGAGTTGGATTGCACCAGATSTTCTTCATTGTATGAGGTTTTTTATTTTTCATTTTTTAAGAGAGATTAGTGGTATCTAGCAACAAAATGTTGGCCTTCATTGGCAGCTACCTCTTCTTCTTTTTTGTGCAGTATGTGGTCTGTGTATCTTTGAGTCACTGGCAGTAGCACAGTGTCTGTCTGAACTATTTTTAGCCTAGAGGAGGCTATTCAATGTGTGGGCTTTTGCCATACCTTGTTCTTAAGGGTGACCCTCAGCACTTGTGACAGTGGCTACRGATGTGGTTGAGGTGCCTGCTGCCATGGAGAGTGGTGATGAGCYGAGTGACACTAAGGTCACAAAGAGCTGCCCAGGCTCACTGTGTTTGCATCACTAATATAGCCAACTCCAATCTGTGTGTGCCAAAGCATTTTTCAGCCACATCTCTGTCATTTTAAGGGATGCCTCCTGAGGGTAAAAAAAAATCAAGTACTTGCACTTCTTCATCCTCCTTATTTATTCATCCTGTGAAAGTATGATAAAATGTATTAAAATGTCCTGAGCTTTGTATTTYTAAGTAGCATGAGGCTGGCTTTTTAAAGAGTTCCTGTGCTTTCTAAGGATTATTTTTGAAAACAGGAAGGGCTTCACAAGTTCAAACACTCAAAAAGACAATACATTTTTCACTGGGATACATTTTTCTTGTGTTTGCACAGGATCCACTGAAGTCAGTGAATTGATGGAGTAAAGTGAAATAAAACCTTACTTTCCATGTGGAAAATAAAGATTGTATGTCTATACTCAATTAAATGAAAACTAAAAAAGATGAGCAKTTATCAGCTATCATATCTCATTCCCCTGTTTGAGAAGATTAAACTTTCGAAGATTTTGGTTTTAAGGAATGTTGTGGTCTTCTGAGCAGAGACTAAGGGATTATTATGGTTGAACTATCCTGCCCCACAGAGGAACCTACTGTTTGCTTTGCATGTCTTATGTAGAGRGGTTTGCTATGTAAATTCTGCACAAAATGCAGAAATAAGCAGCTAAGGAGGTTTTGCCTAAGCAAACTCATCATGTTTGGATTATGGATGCTCTGAGAGGAAAGCATCCTCTTCATTACGAGAGAAAAAAACCTGCAGCAAAGCCAGCCTGGCTGGGATATCAGAAACACATATGGATGATTCTCTGAATTTTCCACATCCTGTACTCTTTTAAACTCTGTACTCAATTTAAGTGGTGAAGCACAATGCTTTGAGACCAAAATTCTTGGCCAGGRGTCTACAAAATAATGCCTGCATTTACACTTATTTCTGAAAGTGGCTGTACTAGAGACTGCAGTGTTTTGGGATTTTGCAGCATGGAGAAGGATGCAGTTTGCAGCAGCCTCTTGCTGTGGCTTACAAGAGAATTCTGTGCCTAACTTTCAGGATGTATTTTTAAAATCTCCACTCTTTAGTGGAGGAGACAGAGTCTCTTTTCAGCATTTCTGTGGCTGCTGGTGGAACTGCAAGTGCCTGCCTTTGGGCTGCCTCCATGCCATTCTCCTTGCAGCAAGTAGCACCAGTCCTTCAGAGCAGCCTGGCAGCATGGGTTGCTCCTGACTCATCCAAGCTGTGTGGCTAAATTCAGGTTCAGAAATTCCTTAAGACTAATAAGAAATCCTCRTCTTCCTGTGTAAGATAAGACCATAAAATTTAARTAATTCTTGCTTTGTCCATSTTTTTTTGTTGTTTCCCTGTTGTGGAAGCCCAGATRTCTGGAGGTCTCAGYACTGTCCCTGATTCTGTTGGCCCARTCTGTGACATAAAAACTCATCATTGCAAAATGACTGTTAGTACTAAGGTCAGATGACATTTAGAATTTATATTTCCCAAGATTAAGATTTCAAATCTGAACACAATATATGTTTACATATTCTTCATGAAACCAAGCCAGAGAAGTTTCCTCTAAAACATTTTAAATTARAGAAACAGTGAGATTATTGTTTTGGAAGCAACATGTTATTCTGAAAATTAGGGGTTTTTTCTATTTCAGATTTTTAAAAATTATCTTGCAGCACCTGAAGGGTGGCTGTGCCTCAAGCAGCATCAAGCCCAACAAATTGGAGGTGGTGATGATGAGTTGATTTCTCAGTTCTTCTCTCTAGACACACAAATTTCATTTATAGCTGTGTTTTAAAAACTTAGGTGTTATTTTGAATCTTACTGCTCCATTGTTGAGTTCAAAGTTTTCATACTGAGAATGCTGAAATRGCATCTCTCTAGATGATCCAGGTGGGAAAATAATTCCATTGCTGCTCCGTAAGTTGGAAAGAGTAAGGACTGCTCACCATCCATGCATAATGGAAAGGCTTAAACGTATTTRCTTAGAAGTGGAAACCTCTTACAGCTAAAGCCATGACCTAACTTTCTAACAAAGTTTTGTATATCAGGAATTCCTTTTCTCTACAGCTGCTCTAGCAAGTCAYGCATGACACTGAAATGTGCATTACAAGTGTTTTGGTGTATAGGAGAAGTGCAGTGATCTGCATGTAATTTGGGCAGCTGTCTTTATTTTCAGCTGAAAGAATTCTCTCAGTTGCAACAATGTAAATCCAGTATAACTCCACCACACTGGGGTAACACAGATAAGATTTTCTTTGTGTTTAAATGATTGCAGTGAACAAAATCAACTGCAGAAAGAATAGTTCTTTTTTTAAAAGAAAGATCTGCAAGTTTAGTGCATAATGGGCCAAATTAATCTCTGTTGTAAGTACACTCATTTCAGTGATGTTGTAGCAGAAATTAATTTAGCCTGAAGCAACTTTACAATAACTCATATATAAGCATGCACAACTAAATGTATTACACTTTAAACAAACTCAGCATTGTCTGGAGCACAGTTGGTCTGCTGAACCTCTGAAGTTAGGAAYTAGCCATTGTGTGCTGAGTTTGTTTAGACAGTACCATTTTTGTTCAATTGGCGACAGCAGGAATGTTCC